TAAGTAATAGTAACTAAGTACGTTAAGTTTAGTTTAGTTACGTACGTACGTAGTTGTTGGTTGGTAGTAGTATACTATCTTCCTACCTACTACTCTCACACTCTCTCTCTCTCTCTCTCTCTCTCTCTCTCTCTCTCTCTCTCTCTGTATCCCCCCGCTTCACGCAAACAGGTGACAATCAGGAATAGGGTTGAGGTCAAGGTGGTAGCCCCACCTATGACTCAGCTACCGGTCTCGGTTCCCACTCCTAACAATGCTAACCCCTTGCGAAAACTACCAATAGTTTAAAAAACTAACATACTACTAGCAGTTAACATTCAAAAAAAAAAAAGAAAGAAAGAAGGTGACAATCATATTTGGAACAAATTGAATTGCCAATTGATCACTATTTGGTTGAAAGATTTAACAATGGTGAATAATCTGGCAGTAGCCAGTAAGTAAACATCCAATAACAACAGAATATCAAATTCCAGTGAGGTAAGGCAGCAGAATCTACAGAAAATTTTTAAACTTCATATAGAATGGGTCAAGGTATCATACAATACAAAAGAACCAACACTTTAGACACATGGGAAGCAAAACTAATAGGCATGAGGCTCCTGATAAACCAGAGCTATTTTTCTACTTCAAATTTCAACTATCAAGTAGTGAACACTGTTGCTACTTACTAAAAATAACTAGTGAATTATTGTAACAAGAATCAGGATTAGAGATCTTCCTATAAGCATAAAAGACAGAGAGTTGTACACATTTAGTAGAAGGTCACACTTATATGGATGGATTCGCAAACAAAGCCACAAACAGAAGTGCTTGGACACGTCAAAAGAAATTCGGGAGTAAGTCCTAACCTCATTTCTAATACAAATTTACTGGTGATTTAGAAAGACATCAAGGCAACTCATGATTAGTCTCCAAGTAAAAGGAAATAACAACCAACATGATTTGTCAACTTCAATACTACAATTTTAATAACCCTAAAGTAAAGTACCAATGATTAGTTTAATGAGCTGTCATTATATCATTCACACTTTCAGCGAGGAAATGAAATGTTACTGTTGAAGTGCATCCAGAATGTAAATTAGAAGATTATCACTAAAAACCCATCTCTCTCTAAACTCAATCTCTCATTCTCTAAAACACATTTTCTCTCTCTAGAAACCCAATATCTCTTTCTCTTTTTAAAAAATCATTCTCTTTCTAAAAAACAAATCTCTCTCTCTAAAAATTATTCTCTCTCTCTAGAAACCCAATTTCTCTCTAAAAACCCACCCTCTCGCTCTAGAAATCAACTATAGAGTTGACATTGGAATTTTGCACAAGTTTAGAAGGAGCTTCATTTTGTAAATTCCACTGTGCTGGTAGATTAACTTGATTCCAAGTTATGGTTTTTGGGACAGTTAGATTTAATTTTTCAACATTAGTTTGGCCCCTCTTGTCTATTTTCTTAATATCAGGGCATACAGTATTCATTACCTTATAACAAATACGATAATTTATAACAATATTTTGTGAGCCAAATTCTATATCAAACCCTTGAGTTTTAAGGTTTAAAGTTATTAATTTTAAAAGATTGGGATCAGTTAAAGAAATTGAATGATTAAGATAGCAATTGAAGTAAATTGCGCCATCACAAAGGCTAGATTAAAAAATTCCTAATAAGGAATCCGAAAAGTTTTGATATCTGATATCTCTTAAGCAGAGAAGAATGGAATTATTAAGTCTAGTGCGAGTTAAGGTTTAACAGCAATTTGGACCAATCCTATATGCAAGTAGTTATAACCTTTCTTTTTATGCTCCTCTAATATGTCTTTAGATAGAGAAAAGGTATCTTGTGATTCTAGGATGGAAATAGTTTTTTCAACTGTTTTTATGGCATAGTCACTTTTGAACTGAAAAGATCATTTTCTATATATTTCACAAATTGGGACCTTAGGAATATTCCAATTTTGTATGCTTTTTTCTATATTGGATATAACTATTTCTTCTGTACTCTTAATACTATTGATATGAGAAATAGAAGAACTTGCTTCATTATTTAAAGTTTCAGATCTGCCCCTAAATAAGCTGGCCATTGAATCAATAATGCAGCTATCTATTTCCTGTTTCACGGTCAATGGGATAAATGCACTAGCGACTTACACCTTTGCGCGTATGTGCCCAACCACGACTTATGGTTTAACAGGATAAGACGTATCACGACTTTAATAGCCTACTTATTTTGGTTTAGATCAGCTTTAAACAATAAATTGAGTAAAACTTGGCTCTAATACCATGTATACCTCAGAATAAATATCTCAAAAGCTTGTAAACAACTTTAACTGCTTAGCATTTCACAGATACAGAAGCTTGTAAACAGCTTTAACTACTCAAGATTTCACAGATACAGAAGCTTGTAAACAACTTTAACTGCTCAGGAATATATTCTGGCACTTCCTTCCAAAAACAGTCACACATATGCTCACAAACTATCACTCATAACATTCACAATTACAGACCAAACAACGAATAAACTTATAATGAACACACTCAAGAACACACTGTGATAAACTCAAAAGCCCTTCCAACTCCGGTGCCCCAATGGGAAGGGTCCTCTTCCTTTTTATAGCCGAATGTTCGGATTTCAAAATGTCTATTTGGAGTCCGAATAGTAACTTCCAATAATTGCACCGACATAACAGTAACTTTGTTATGTGCCAGCTACAGTGACTGGCATCTTAAACAGTGTTTTTTGTCTGTCAATTGTCCTTGCTACAGTGAAATATCATATTTGCCACAATTGCCCCTTGTCAGTGGGGAGTGACGTCATGGCTAACGCTATTTTCTTCAGGCCTTCGTGTCCTGGATTGTTTTGGACTCGAGTCGGCCCATTACACTTGTCTTAGTTTCTGATAGAGGTAAGAATCCCATAGGAATCATCTCTATTATATTCTGCATGGTCTTCCTCCTTATCTTTTGAGGAGGGTAAGGACATATCATCTGGCTCTTCTTCATTTAGAGTTAATAACAATTGTCTCTTAATTTCTTTGTTTGATAAATTCGGATTATGCTCTTTTAAGAGCTTAAAGTATTCATCAATCCTATTAGGATGTGGGGTTTCAGTATTGGCTTGTTTTAGCCTTTCAATTGTTATATTATGTGGGTGAAGATAAGAATCTTCAAATGAATCCCACCATTTTATCATGATTCTCCTTTCTAAAGCAGGAAGATAATCTCAATCATTATTGTTAGGAGTTACCATACATTCCCATCTCAGAATCCAAGTGACCTCGTATAAGGCTGTAAAATGTATACATGTATACATGTATCCACCTGATTCATTCCTCTATTAGAGATCTGAAAAAGTTCGTATGATTCTTTTGGTTTTAATGGATAGATGCCTGGAGGTTGTCCCCAATACAATATCCATCTTTTAAACCATTGAGGGAATTCACTTATTTTAGTGATTAATCTAAATTGTAAGAACCAACTATGGGTTCTTTGAGAATTTTGAAATAACAAGACTACATCCCAAGCTTTAATGTAGTCATAATAATTATAAGCCCTAACTTTAAAGGTTCCTGAAAGATATTTATGTTTCAGGGAATCAAAATCCCATTCTTCTTATGTAATGATCTTTAAGATCTAGAATTTTGAGTAGCCAATAATTTTGCTATTCCTATTATGATGGAAAATTCTTATTGACTTTGTATCAGTCAATATTCGTTCATAGTATTCTCGGGTTTTATATCCTGTTTCAGAATGCATATTAACTATAAGATAAAGATCAACTGCTTGATTTAGCTCTTTTAGAGCATGCTTATTTTCAATAATCATTATAGGTATTAACGCCTTTTCAATATAAGGTGTTTTAGGCTTTGTATTAGAGATTTTAGCTCTTTCATTTATCTCCTTGTTTTTAGGAGAAGTTATATTCTGATTGCTACTACCGGATGTGTTAATTTCCATTCTTCTACGAATATTCCTGCAAGAACTCACAAGTTAAAACGTCAGGCAGGGTGTTAGACCCCCCTTGATATATTCTATTGTAAAATCAAATGAAGAAAGAATAGCTCGCCATCAAGCAAAATTTGTTCGGATGCTATATATTTAACATCATTTTCTAAAATATCTTTGGCAGCTTTGCAATCCACTCTTATAAAAAATTCTTGGTTTAGAATATCACTTTCGAACTTTGTAACGCATTTGACAATTGAAAGTATTTCCGTTTTAATAGTTGAGTAATTTTGTTGTGCTGGGTTCCAAATTCCAGAAGTATATCTAACCAATTTTTCTTTTCAGTTGGTTGAAATCTTTGTTTTAGGATCCCACCATAACCGAGTTCAGAAGCATCAATTTCAATAATTTTGAAAGCTTTTGGATGAGAAATAACTAAACAAGGTAGCCGTTTAGCTTTTGCCTTAATATTTTTTACCGCAAGAGTGTGTTGCTCCCCCCAATCTGGGGGATTCTTTCTAAGTCGTTGAAAAAGGGGCTTGCATTCAGCTGCCAGATTCTTATAATAATCCACAATATAATTAAGTGATCCTAAAAACCTTTGTAATTGGGTTTTATCTTTGATTTCACTAGAAAATTTGTCAGCAAATTGCAAAACTCTGTCAATATGAGTTATGGTTCCATGGGAAATATTGTGGCCTAAAAATCGGATGTTACTTTGAAATAGCTTAATCTTTTGGGTTGAGACTACAAAACCAGCTTGCATGATGATTTTATGGAAAAGACGCAAATGTCTCCAATGTATCTATAGATTCAGATAATATAAGCACATCATCAATACACACAATTATAAAAGTGGTATATGGATTAAATATTTCATTCATATTATTTTAAAATTCAGAATAAGCATTTTTTAGTCCGAAGGGCATTACATTCCATTCATAATGTCCAAATGGTACAGTGAAAGAAGTTTTGTATTTATCCTTTTATGGAATCTGAATTTGCAAGTATCCTGATTTCATATCAAAATTTGAGACTATGGTTGCTTTAAACAGTCTGTTCAGCAAATCCCGTTTATTGGGGATTGGATAACGGATCCATCTCAATGCTTTGTTTAATGGTTTATTACTAACCTGGGTACTTCTCTTTCAAGTTATGCCACTTTCTCAACATAAAAGGATGGGCAGGTTCAAGGGGAGTATGATTTTCTTATAAGATTTTTATCCAATAAATATTGTATTTCTTTTTTACAAATTTCCAATAATCTGTTATTCATCTGAATCGGTCTAGATTTTGTTGGATTAAGTCTTTCATCAAAATTTGGTTCATACGGCAGTTCTACCATATGTTGTTTTCTGTTCCAAAAAGCATTAGGAATATTAGCACAAACTACTTCCCCAAGCTTATCTTGAAATATTTTGATTTCATTTTGAATATTAAGAGATTTTAATTTTTTTCTCTATTGTTTTATAATTTATTTCTTCTTTTAGGGAGAATAACAACTTTTCTTTATTTTTTAGTTGATTATGAACCTAATTTTATTTCTTTTACTTTTGGTTTGTCAATAAATTCAAATTTTACGTTATGACCATCAATTTCAGATTCTATACCAGTATGATCCAATAGTTTTATTGGATATAAAAGGTTCAAAAAATGGGTTCCCAGTATTATTGCTTGTGATAAACCTTTTACCATTATAAATGGCAAAATAAAACACGCTCCATTATTACAAACTGCTGCATCAAAAAGTTTATAATTAGTCATCGTTCTTTTTCCATCAGCAGTACTAAATATTTATGTAGTTTTATCAGAATATTTAGAAGGAACAAGACCTTCAATTTAAATCAGTGTCTGAGTCGATTACGGCAATAGTCAGAAAGTTGAATTCTTTATTTACACGACTATGTTAACATTCAGTTGTTAGAGTCAAAGTGTAGAAGTCAATCCCTTGCCATATGTTCCGTCAAGAAAAGGGGAATCAGTGCCATTGCGAGGGCACCAACTCTGGAGCTATGGCAAGTTTATGGGTAGAACGTTTTTGCAGGAAGAGAGCACAGCAGCTGATGAGATTAAATTAATGATAGAAGGTTGCAGCTATTTGAATCAGAGCCCCCTTCGCCGATACGTAGTCAGGTGGAAGCAATTATCATACAACTTGACAGTAATCTTGGTTTGGTAGAGCAGGAGCTGCACTTGCTAAAAATTTCTCATAGGATCATCCATCCAGTGGATATCAAAGAATCCCCTCAGATAAAGACTAATAAAATGCATACCAGTTATTTGAGGCACAGTTTTAAACTCATATGGATCGATACGGTTTTCCATCAAGAGTATTTATTAGGGTTCCAACGTATAAGGAGTTGGTGGCAAGTGATGATAACCAATTTAGGTGGAAGGTTGGGTAGGATTCATGTTTGTAAAAAAAAATTTAGATGTTTGTATGGATTCTGAAAGTATGGACCAGCAGAGAGGTTAGGGGGGAATTGGTTGGTTGGAAAGGTTGTGTTGTAGAAGAACATTGCTGAGACAAACATTAAAGAAAGCCAGTCTCCTTGTCAGATGAGGAGAAAGGTAGGACCAAATAACCCAAAGAAGATATGCTAGAAGTGTAAAGACAAGAGGTCCTGAGTTAGATATAAAAGCCTAAGAACAAGTGGTTAAAGTAAGGGCATAAAAATGCCAAATTCTCTCAAAGGATAGTCAATGTGAGACATAAATGTGATCTCATCCGAAAGCATGGCGGCCTGCTTGAGTATCCATTTTTATGCATTGATGGAGGATGTTTCCAATAAGCAAAGTGGTGAAGACTTTGGGACAAGTGCTAATGTCTCAGATGAGTTCTATGATATGATCAGGATCAGTAAGGAATGCACATAATTACAGGATTCTTGTCACAAAAGTAGAAAATGCACGAGATATTATCTATAACACCAAGGGAAGTGATGAGGTCCATTATTTCACCTAGACAAAAGTGCATCTGTCAGCACAAGGGAGATTCTTGAAATTTGACTTCTCACTAGTATCTATTTTCAAGGCCTACATATAGTTGACCCAAAAAATTTTGCAAGTTAGACCCGGAGAGTGCAGCCATCAAGTGGATTTCGCGTGCCTAGACCATGAAGGATCAAAGTGGCGAAGCTGGCTGCTATCTCAAAAATGTTTTGATGGCCAAGTGTTTTGATTGCTGCTATCTCAAAAATGGTGCATGGAACCCCCTAAACAAGCGCTCAATTAGCAAAAAGGAAAGAAAAAATAGCTAAACAATTTCTCCAAAAACCCTTCCCATTATAATATGCAGAAATTTCATGAAATAAGCCATAAGGCATAGAATTGTCATGATGGGAAATACCATGCCCGGATTTTTACTATATTTGCAGCATCATTTGACATTGTAGAGATGAAAAACTAAGGCAGTTATACTAGCAAAGTAGCAACAGGAGATTCATTTTTCTTTTCATCCCTCCTGCCTCTACACACAAGAATATGATTTTTAAAAGCAAATGGATTTCAACATGAAGTTGTACCTTAGTGAGCCGAGAACTTAATTTCTGAATGACATCAATTATGTGATCGGACTTCGCAGCCTAAAAGGAAGAAAAGGCACAAAAGCAATTTAGTGAATAACCTAAAACCTAAACATTTCAAATCGTTTGAGCTTATGCCCAATCTACCTAAAAATCTACAATTCACAAAATACAATACAAAAAAGATAATACCCATGTCTGGTTCTTAACTCGATCAGAGACCGATGGATCCAATCCAGGGAATCTAGCATTCTGAAACACCACGCATGCACATCAAATCAAAGAGCTATTCCATCCAGAAAATGCAACCAGATCAAAAGCACGTAAATCACCCTCTATGTTTCAATTATAATACGAGTATGAAATAAACATCTCACTAAGGAATTGAATTTACCAGAGGAGAATTTCTATATTCACCAATATAACCTGAAGATGATTAAAAGAATAATCAGAGGTTGCTCATCAGCCAGTACAGTATCTCACAATAAACTCATAAATCACAGAAGTTAAATGAACGTATGCTTGAACATTTCACCCATATCGGAAAAAACAAAAGCTAATGCAACAGAGATCCAGATGAGTACACAGAAATAAAGTGATGAATCTCAAAAACTTCAACAATTAAAACTTTGATCCAGAAACTAGTAGAAAATAAAATGCACAATAATCAGAGTGGGGCCAAAGGGAGCACTGGTTCATTGGAAAAAAAGTTAAAAAAAAAAAAAATAAGTCAGGGAAAAAAAGAGGGAATGACTGTGAAGAAGAGTAAGAACAGATCCAGTTATAAGAACACCATCCATCTTCCAAAGTGGAAGAGGAAAGAGTTAGATCTGAAAAAGCAGGATACATCAATTGATGAATGAGCAAGTGAAAGCGAGAATACCGTTGGATTGGAAGCCACTGTGGAGGCCAAGTAAGAAGACGAGGGGGACAAGCAATTAGAGCATTACCAGTCCCACAACTATTGTACCCAATCTCTTCCATCCCTCTTCCCCCCTCCTTCCAAAACCCCTATGCCTCCTCCTCCTCTC